ATCTCATGTTAGAGTTATTAATAGACATAATAGCATCTCTGATTTTGCTGTAGTATGGGCCAATTGCCCGAACTCCATCCTGTACACATAAGTTAAGTACATGGCAAACACATCTAGTATGAAGAGCTTCACCGTCTAATAGTACATCGGTTAAGTTTTGTTTGATAAGAGTAGCTGTGTATGTCATAGAGGTTGCATTATCAAAAGTCATAGACATCATTTTATCTCGAAGGTTGTATTCGTCTATTGCTTGCATTAAATGGTGAGCAATGTTAATGCCGGTGTGTGGGTATTCCAGCATTTTAAAATGTATTATTCTTTTTTGTAACATCCATTGATCATCTACCCAATGGCAAGTCACACATAAATAGTGATATTTATAACCACTATCCCAAGAATCGGCTGTTAAAGATACTCTACAGTTAAGGTTACTCAATTCGGCTTGTAACCGGACTTTGTACTCTAGGAAATTTTTCATTGCGGCGGAACGAACGGTTTTCCTAGAGATTCTTTTATGTTGGGGTTGTAGTGCTTTGTTAATGTAGGTGTTGAATGCGTCACTTTCCGAGAAAAGAAAAGGTTGTTCGGCGTGTACTATCATTTTTCCTAGTTCATCCCTATCCCTCTCATAGTTGTATGTAAAGCCGTATGGATGGAATTGGGAAATTTTGGGCTGGGTTGGATCACTAGCTAGTTTTGCACAAGCTTTCATGTGTCTAGATAAGTGTCCCGTCCCGTTTTTGGTAACTGCCGTGAATACACTATTACATGTTTTACATTTTGCCCATTGTTCACCATCTTTACTTAGGACAAAATAACACCATACCTCACTCCTTCGGTTTTTCAAAAGTAGCATCTCAGTTTCGGTTAACCATTCATGATGTGTGTGATGGTTAGTAGGGGGACTAGTGGGAGTGGCAGTAGAAGGGGTAGAACCGGAGGGAATTCGGGTACTTTCTTGGCTACCTTGGCTAGAACAATAGTTTTGTTGATTACCGATATAATTAGGTGGAAATTGGTATGGTGGTAGTGGAAATTGGTTTAGTGGTGGTGCTGGAAATCCCGACGTATTATATGGCTCATAGCCCGGGGGGAAGTAAATGGGGTCATTGGTTTGACTCGTAATTTGGGGGCTCGTTGTATTTGGTGGTTCCCTAGAACTACTACTACGGATAAGTCGGCCTTTCCCCCTAGACCTAGATGATGGGTTGTTCGATGCCATAATTAACAATTAATTTTTTAATAAAAAGTGGTTAACTATAATAATAATAATTAATAACAACAATTTTAACAATAAAAATATCAATAATAATAATTAATAACAACAACTATAACAATAACAATAACAACAAAAATAAATAATAACAACAATTGTAACAATAATAATAATTAATAACAACAATTATAACAACAACAATAACAATTAACAACAATAATAATTAAACAAGATTATTCTAATAATAACAATAAAACAATAATAAATTTAAGATTAGTTTAGATCTTACAACCGTGCTTCAACGCTCCACTAATTACGATTACGAACTTTTTAATTTTTTCCGATATTAGGAAAATAATTAGAGAATTTAAGAGAATAATTAGAGAATTTAAGAAAATAAGGATTATTAGAGATTTAGAGAATATAAGAGATAAGAAGAAGAGATTGTGATTTTGTGATTTGGGAATGAAATGGAGGTGAGTATTTATAGAATTTTTGGCAAAAAACTAGCCGTTTATAGCCGTTTAACTAGCCGTTGGCCCGCGGGCCGTGCCTGCGGGCCAGCACGGCGGGCCATGCCCGTGCTCGTGCCGGGCCGTGCCTGGGAATTCTCCACCGTGTCCGTGGCACGGCCCGTGGCACGGAAGTCGAACTTCGTGCCGTGCCGTGCTTGACTTCGGGCCGTGCCGGGCTGCTCCGAACGGCGGGCCGTGCCGGGCGGCACGCGGGCCAACCCGGCCCGTGCCCAGGTTTAGTACTAAGTAAGTATTTGTACTCTGAGACCCAATATGAATAAAAAAAACTAAATTAATTCAAGAATGGATGAATTTTGTTAAAAGTATAGGTGAATTTTGTATCTAAGTTTGTGCTATATTGTTGAATTTTATATTGAATATTATGTTGTTTGATTTTAAGGCGAAATTATTTTCTTTGGAAACTTTCTACAAAGATTTTTTTTTATATTTTGTTTAAATGATGTTAATCTAAATTATTATTTTTTTTTTTATTTTGTTCTCTAAATCAGATATTATGCTTTAAATATAAAGTTGTCTTTTGTTTTTAACTTTATATATTGCACATAACAAATAAAAGTTGTAATGTTTTGAATAAGAAAAATGAATTTATTTGCTCCTAATCATTAAAGCTTGTATTATTCTATGCTAGTTGTTATTTAGGTTTGTGTTATTTTGTTTTAAATCTTATCTTATTTTTCATAAAAAGGTTATGTTATTCAGTTAAGTGTTAATTTTTAGGGAAATTCTTAATGGTAACACTAAATTTTATATTTTTTTCAAGTTGTAAACTGCAAAAATACTTATTATTAATTGTAAACTACAATTGTTCACTTATGATTAATGGTAACATTAATGATGGATTAGAGTTAATGGTTAACCATGGTTAGCGATTTTTTAATAAAAAAACATAAACTTGCAAAATTACGTAAATGCCTTCACTTATTTCCTCAACCAACAATGTCTAATCACAAAAAAATTGATGAACAGTTTAAAACCCATTCACTTTCTTTATGTTTTGTATGTCAAAGAGAAATTGAGTGTATTTGATGAAGGGTGTAAGGGGTTTGTGAATTTGCGTGTGAAAAATATAGGGCTAGGTAAATCAGGACTACGAAATTCTTAGGTTTTGGTAATTTTTGATTTCAATTACAACTGTTCAAAATAATTTTAGGCGAGTTTGGTTAAAATTATGAGTATACTTAGAGACAATTTTTGCTAGTTTGTGGGTTGAAATTTGCTCGAGGATTGTTGATTCAGTATCAAAGATTGATCTTGTGAATATATATTCACCTAGTAGTGCAGATTGAGTCAGGTGAGTATTTATTTGTGCTTTTTATTATGTTATTGTAGACACCCATTTGTGTCTCCCCAAAATCAAACCCAGTGATGAGTACCTTTCACGTCGAATCATAATCAAATGAAGTAAAAGTGTGGAAGGTTTAGTGTTGCGGAAAGTTTTAATTTCTTCTCTTTTCTCTTTGTTTTTGAAAATCTATTTTAAGAAAGCAGCCAACCCAGTTTGGTTGGTTCATGATATGAGTCCAATAATAGTGTAGTTGGATGGGGTTTGAAAAGAAATTTCCAACGATATATTATAAGCCCAATTCCGATGAATATTGAGGAAGTTATGACCAAATTACTGAACTGGGTATTTGAGCCTTATATGCGGCCCAATGATCTAGGGGAGGGCCTAATATGGATTTATCATTCCTAATGCAATTAGGAATGGTTTTAGTCTTCTAGATTCTTCTAGAAGGTTCTTTTCATTCCTAATTCAATTAGCATTGATAAATAGGCTTTTCGTTGACTTTTTAGAGTTTTAATCAAAATCAAAGAACGTTTTTGAGGAAAATAAGATTTTTCCCTCCTGTACAAACAATTTTTATATGATTTTTAGAAAACGCGTCGATTTCTGAGTCAGCGCCAAACGCCAGCTGTAGCGCCTGACGCTACGCTTGGCGCCTGGCGCTAAGTTCAGCGTTTGGCGCTAATCTGGCTTTTTGCGTCAGAACTCTGTTTTTGATGTTTTATCTTTTTGGATGATTTTCTCTATAAATAACGTGTTAAAAACTTCGTTTTGATTCACCAATTCTCTCTTTCACCATTTCTCATCAAGATTTTCTGGATTACTCTCTCTCTCTCTCTCTTTTCTAAACTAGCATTCTCTCAAATATAAAAATTCCGCATTCATTAGATTTAGAAACACCTAGCCATATTCGAAGTTGTCTTCGCCCTAGACGTGAAAGGTTTAATTTCTGAGGGTTTGGTCCCAAATCTCTTTTTCAATTATTATTTAATTTAATTTTTTTAATTATTATTTTCCTTGAAGTTACTAATGTATGTATTTTGTTATTAGAAAGAGGTACGAGACATCCAAGTAAGTACTTTAGTGATTTTTATTGATATTATGATGTAGAAATCATGCTTAGATTGTTATTTTGATTTCTAGTACAATGTGTAGGGTAACTTTAATATTAAGTATGATTAAAAGTATGATGCTTTCTATGTTCTTCCTAATACTTATGATTGTTAGTATCATGTTAGGGCTAAAGCTTTGATTTTTATTGTTTAGTGACATGCTAGGGTTTGTTATTAATCTTGTTAGTATCATGCCTAGGATCTTGCTATTATTATACTTTAACATGATTATTATTATAATAATTAGGAAAATTTGTTAGAAACTACCTTTTATAACATTTTTTTTTTTGGAAAAAACCACCTTATAAATTGTTTTTTTTTGTAAAAACACACCTTAATCGGAATTTTTTTTTTTTTTTTTTTTGCAAAATAACACTTTTTGCCGGATTCTCGACTTTGACTGAACATTCCGGCGTTGACCTTTGCATGTGAGAGGCAGACCCAAATATTCTACCCCCCTCTAATTTTGGCATGTTAGGGGGACATGACCCCCATTTTCCCCTTTTTTTCCCTTTTCCCTTGAATTTTACTCACTATCTTCTTAGCTCTCCTAATTAACTCCGTTTTCTACTCCATTTAATCTTCTCATTCAATTGTCCTCTGCCACAAACATCTACCATGGCAGGAAGCAATTGAATTCTTCAATTGGTGGGGTTAAGCTAGCCTAAGAAAGAGTAAGTATAGTTTTTCTCTCTCCTCTCATTTGGTATTGAATTTCTAGGTTTTCACATTGCTAATTTTTTTACTTTGTCATGTGTTTCTTGCTGCCATGGTTAAAAAGAGGAAGGTTGTTGTGAAGACGACGCGTGGTGGGGGACCAATTTCAGAATAATAAAAAAGCCCAGGTTTCAATTTTATACATTAGCTTTTCCTTCCTTTGTTAATTAGCAAAAATGCATGTGAATGTTGGGAAAGGGGAAAACATGCTTGACTTTAACTTATTAAATCGCAATTAACTAGTAACACCAATTAAAATATAATCCTTTATTTTAATTGATTTTGCGTTTTTGTTTAATTGAGTTAATTTTGTGACAAATAAATGTTTATTTTTGGATTTTTGTGATGCATGTTTATCTGTTTACTAGGTTATGACTTTTGGGTATTTGGAAATGAAATTAAAATTAGTGTATGAATGTATGATTTTTTCAGGTTTAATGGTAGGGTAAATATATATTATCCTTGGTTTAGGTTCATGGATCCAATTAATATTAGAGTATTGTATGGTGGGAATTTTGTGACCAGAAATAACAAAACTACATATGGGAAGGGAAACAGTAATTATTTTGGACTTTCATTACATCCAAATGTAGAAGAAGTCTGTTACTTTGAATTTGTTGATTGGATTAAAAGGGAATTAGGATATGATGAGGTTGGGGAGATTTGGTATAGGAAGCATGGGTGTACTTTGTATTCTGGTAGGAAGCAAATAAAGTGTGATGCTAATATACCTGAATTTTTAGAAGCAAAAGAAAAAGATGGGTGGTATGAATTGTACTTGGTACACTACCCTAAGAAACAAGTAGATCCTGCTACTATTAGATATGGTCTTGGGGTAGGCTTTTATTCAGATTCTGAGCTTGATTCTTCAGAGAGGACTGAGTCATCAGTGGGGATAGGTGAATCTTTAGAGAGGACTGATTTTGGAGTGGGGATAGCTGAGTCATCTGTTATGTGTGAGCATGGAGGGGGGTTGGATGAGTCAATGGTGAGTGATTCAGCAAAAGTGATTGATAAGTCATATAAAAACATGGGAGGGGGTCCACTGCATAAAGATTCCTTAGGAAACCCTAGATCTAAAAATAACCAAGTTTTGCTTCCCCAAACCAGCCTCTTATCTTACCACATTTCCAAAGATAACCTCCCACCCCCTTTGAACCCAAAATCAAAAAAACTTCCAGTCATCTCAAAGGCCAAAATTAATGTGAATCCAAACACTGACCCTCAACCAAACACTGAACCTGTAGCAAATAATCATCTTATACCTCATACTGACCCTTAACCAAGCATTGAGAATGGGGCTATGCTGAGTGATAATGAGGGGAGTGATAGTAAGGACAGTGATGTGATTTTGAGGGAACAGTAAGGGATGTTGAAGATCAAGCTCCTGATTACCCCATTTTCAACCCAGTAGTTGACTTCAAAAAAAGTATTGAATTGAAGTTTGGCCTGAAATTTCCCTCTACTGTTGTTTTTAGGAAAGCTTTGAGGCATCATGCCATAGAAAATGGTTATGATTACTACTTCTTGAATAACACTAAGTTGAGGGTTACAGCTTACTGTGCAAAAAGGTGTGCTTGTCCATGGGAAAAGGGGAGAAGGTTGTATAAGTGTTAATGCAATATTAGGAGAAAGTGTAAGTGGAAGATTCATTGTAGGAGGCTGAAAAATGAGGACACTTGGCAAATAAAAAGTTTCTTTGGTGAACATATTTGTGGTCATCAACATCTAAATATCAAGGTGACCTCTCTGTACCTTGCTGAAAGGTATTTGGAAGATTGGAAAGATGATCCATCTATGAAGCTTAGTGCATTCCAGAGTAGAGCAACAAGGGAAGTGCAAGCAAAGATAAATTATTACAAGGCATGGTTTGCTAGGAAAATTGCTCTAGAAATGTTGTTTGGTGATGCTGCTTCAGAGTATAGTAAGGTGTAGGAGTATGCTGCTGCAATAATGAAATACAACCCAGGTAGTACAACAGTTGTGAAGGTTACAGGCATTGAGAACCCCCCACCAGAGTTCCAAAGGATGTACATATGTTTGCAGCCCTGAAAAGAAGGCTTTGTTGCAGGGTGCAGGGCAATAATTGGAGTTGATGGGGCCCATCTAAAGGGTCCATTCCCTGGGATTTTACTCACAGCAGTCAGCAAAGATGGGAACAACAACATATTCCCAGTTGCTTGGGCTGTTGTTGAGACAGAAAATGCTGACACTTGGAAATGGTTCTTGGAACTATTAGTGAAAGACATAGCCTCAGTTGCTGATTCAGTCACATGGGTCCATGAGAGTGAAGAGGATGTCACCTACATGTCTGATAGGTAAAAGGTGTGCATAATTTCAATTTAGTTCAAATAATTCAGAAATTCATGGTTAAGTACTAACTTGTATTATTCACTTTTAAATGCAGGGGCTGTTGGATGCATTCAATACCGTGGTTCCTAATGTAGATATCAGATTTTGTTGTAGACATATTTGGACCAATTTCAAAACCAAATTCCCTGGTGAGGTCTACAGAGAAAGCTTTTGGAAGGCTGCTAGATCAACTACTAAGGTCGGTGCATGGTTCAATGTTTTTGGCTTTATTTCCTTATTTAAAACCAAATTAATTTGGTTTGATATAATTGCTTTGGTGTGGATTATCTTACTTTGAGTATAGTTTATTATACTTGGCTTGAATTAATTGTTTTGGTATTGTTAATTCATTTTTTAGCAACATTTTAATTAGAATATGGCTGCAATTAAAGCTCTTAATGTTGATGCATACAAGTACTTGGAGTCTATACCACCTTGTAATTGGTCTAGGCATGCCTTCAGTGGTCTAAGTCTGGCATGATTCTAAACCATTGCTGTGAGAGTTTTAATAACGTTTTGAGAGAGGCAAGAACCAAACCCATCATATCTCTTATGGAGTTGATAAGGAGATATGTGATGAAAAGGTGTTGTGCAAAAAGGGAGGGTTTGAAAAATTTGAAAGGGTTGCTTATGCCAACTGTTACTAAAATGATTGAGAATGGATTGAAAAATGTGTCAAATATGAGAGTGATTCAAGCTGATTTACATGAGTTTGAAGAGGATGATGGAAATGATACCTATGTTGTTAACCTGCAAAGCAAAGTGTGTGGATGTTATAGGTGGAGTCTCCTAGGTATTCCATGTCTGCATGCACTAGCTTGTATTGTGAAGAGGAGGTTGGAGTATGATGAGTTTGTGCACCTTGCTTACCATGTAAGAATGTCACTCAACCTCAGCAAGAACAAAACAAGGGAGGAAGACCTAGATCAAATGCACCACGAACTCTAGCACCATCTGCACCTTCAGCTATCATAGCCGTAACTGCAACAAATCCCACCTCTACTACATCAGCAAGGGGAACAAAGAGGAAAACACCTGCAGCAACAACTTCCCACTCAGCTGCAAGTGCCCCTTCAGCTTCAACTAGAGCCAAGACAAAGACACCAACAACATCAACTGCTGCAAAGACAAAGACCACTTCATCTGCTTCAACTAAGGGAGCAAAAACAAGGGCAGCAACTGCCACCACCAGCACATCACATGCTGCAACCAAAGGAGCAAACACTAGAGCTGCTACAAAAAAGGCAAATGGGTCCTCTCATGTAGATATGCACTGTTCCCAAGCTTCCTCAAATGATATTCCCACGCCTCCTCAAAACAAGTGACAACTGAAGCAATCTATGGTCCAAGAATGTGATATGAATGTTTTGTTATTAGTAATAGCCTTGAAAGTGCTGTAAAACTGTAACTTAGATGCATCTTTTGCTTTTTGAAACATTATTGCATTTTCTCTGTATGCTTCATGATTTTGAAGCCTTTAATTAATTAATTAATTAATTAATTAATATATATATATATATATATATATATATATATATATATATATATATATACATATATATATATACATATATATATATATATATATATATTAATGCAACTTGTGTTTACAACTAAATCATTCTTGCACAATTAAAGATGTTATACATAACATACACTTTTCATTCCATACACCAAACTGGTGAATTAAGTACACATACAGCAAATTACATTGCTTTAATTCCATTAAAAAAGAACCATGACCAACCTAACTAACTAGTAACCAGCCTAACTAAACATCTTAACAACAACTACACTAACTACAACAGAAATAATGATACAAGCAACAATAACCCCAAATTTCTCATTTTGCAATGCTTTTTGCCTTGAATCATTAAGCTTCCACTTCTTCTTCTGTATCTCATGCTCAATACATGCCAATTTGGCTTGTAGGAACCTCAGATCAGTTACCAATATGTGCTTCTCGGCAACAAGCATATTAGTAACATCCCTCTGCTAGTCCAATATGTCCTCATCTATCCACTTAAAATAGTTACACCCTCTGTGTCTTGTTTCAAAAGTGTATAATCTGAAAGCTTTGAACTTCCTTCCAGGATTCTCATGTGCCCATGAGGTCTTAATAGCAACAGGTTGTCCACAATGGCACTTGTTCGCCCTCTAACTTACTGCCAAATCTATCCTATACACGAGGAAGCCAATAATTAGTTGCAATTCACAAATTAAAAACCCTTAATTAAAACCCCCTAAATTAATTACATTTTGCCTTCAATTTAACAGCTTACCTGCCTCATAATTACTCCAATCAAGTTTTTTTGTAGGAATTTGAAGACAATAATGGAGCTTTCGTTCTCAACTTACAGGGAAAAAATGGAGGATGTGAGTAGAATTCAAGGGAAAAGGGGAAAAAAGGGGGTCATGTGCCCCTCACATGCCAAAATTAGAGGGGGGCAGAATATATGGGTCACTTTGTTGGGGTTTGGTGAGTCCGACTCACCGCGGAAACAAACCCAAAAACAAGACCGCACTCGCAATAAATAAAACCATAAACATAATTAAATTAATCACAAGATTAAGATAAGCTAATTACCTTTGACGCGTGCTTCGCTCCAAAATGAGCTCTTACTTGAAAGCTTCAAGTCCCGCTCACACGGAGACCTCCAACGAAGTACACCCGCACCAACAAAACCGACTAGGTCCAATGTCTTGGGGTTAGCAAGACTCGACCAATAAAACCCGAGTAATTATATTGAGTTCAAAGGTTTTCACTAATTGTGATGCCTTTTTCAACTCTTACTCAAGCAACATTCCCAATGCCCATACTTGGGTATTTATAGGAAATGATGGGAGTATCATTTACTCTCCCATCAATGTGGGATAGTATGATTTTTCCATTTTATTTTAAAGCTAAAATAAAATTAATAATCAAGCTAGTAATAAATCAATAAGTGGCAAGCTCATATGAGTGGTTAGGTGAGGACTACTTGGAGAAGGGGGGGACCAAACTTGCTCCTCACTCCCTCTCCCATAACCGGCCACCTCACTCCACACACACTCAAGGACCACTAGCCACATGGCACCCACCCTTGGGCACCAAGGCAACCAAGGTGGGCTTCTATGTGATGCTTTCCGTGGCAGCCACGCCCAGCAAGCCCAACAGGCCCAGCACTCGCATGCGGGCTGCCAGGCGCTGCTGGCTAGCAAGCCTAGCATGCTTGTGCGGGCTGCTGCTGGTCTTGTGCCTTGGCCAGCGCTGCTAGGCAGCAAGCAATGGCCTAGCCATGCTGCTGCTAGCTGTGGCGAGCTGGTGCGCCTAGCGTGCTAGCTGCTGCAGCTTGTTGCGGCATGGCTTGCTAGCCATTGCGCGCACAAGGCTGCGCCTAGCATGCTAGCACGCACTAGGCAGCGCCTAGTCTTGCGATGCTAGCATGGGTGCGCTAGCACGCACCAGCCATCCTAGGCTCGGCTTGGTGCGCATGCTAGCCACCATGCTAGGTCATACGCCCTTAGCACTCGGTTTGCTTGGGCATTCCGATGCTAGGGGTATTTTGGTCTTTTGTTGATTTATTACTATTTCTCGTCTCGTCTTTCACTATTTTTCCACTCGACTTCCGACGCTCGGTTTCGACGCTCTAAGCTCGAATTTTCGACGTCTAAATAAATATTACTCGGTCAACTCATTAATTCCTTCCGAATTAATTCGTCGGTTCGGTTTGTTGAATGCTTGGGTGTGACCCGAACGGTTAAGTCAAGATTAAGCTGTAATATTAATTATTCATTAATATTACTGATCGGAAGTGGCCTCCACCCAGGCATTCCGATCACTTGACCTCACTGAATATATTAGCTTTCTAATAATTCTGAACCCACTAACGGAATAGTACACTTGTTCGAAGGACACCATTCCTTTCAATCTCCCACTTGTCCTTCCGGACAAGTGCGCATTTTGTGTACAACCTTTTTCCTATGTCGCTTAATGTCTCTTCATGAACTATAAGGTAAGATTTGTTTTGTCATCCTTATTACGTCCAGAAGTGTTTCCCGATTCCGAGTCCGACTGTTAATAAACAGATGATTTCTAAAATTCATCCGAGCACGGCCATGCATTTTACAGTCTCTCTCTACGAGAGGCCTTGTATACAACAAAGACATCTTCCCTATTTTAGTAGGGGGGACATTCCTAGTCTTGTAATGTAGCTCCTCTTACTGAGAGGACCTAGTCGCCCGAGTGTTACCGTTATAATCCCCTATTACGGCAAACGTTTGATAACATCAAAGCGAACTAGTACTCAAACAAGAGAACTCACAAAACTCATGGTCGAGGAAATAAGTTTCGATAGCCATAATGAGAAGTATACTTATGACAATTTTTTTTTAATTTCTTAAAGTATTCTCATAGGTCGATCCAGTATGATTCTAAACCAATACCTGTGCAAATGATTTATGACAATCATGTCCTTGTAGCACATGAAACGGTGCTATAAATCAGACTACGCACTAATCTCAATTGGTCATTAATCGTCCATCGTTTAAATGACCATGATTAGGGATAATTTTCGATTATAATATTCAATGTTCACTTAATAGGTGTTTCCTTACCAAGACTGGTCTTGATACCCTATTTTGAATATTCTCAAAATTGAATGGACTCATTATTTAATCCTAAACCACAATTAAATAGCATAACAGAGTAATAAAATATTGCATGAAATTTTATATTACACCAAAACTTGAATGGTTTTCCTTAGCGTCTTACATTAATTTTTCTCAAAATTAACTAAAACACTAAACAAGGAAATCAAAGCCAGTCTCCTACATGCTTGATTCCCATTGCCTCAACGTGCTTGTTGTGCTTCACTTGAGGCAAAGGGTTAGTAAGTGGATTGGCTACATTGTCATCCGTTCCAACTTTGCAAATTCTGATTTCACCCTCTGATTTCCATTCCCGAATCATGTGAAATCGCCGCTTGACATGTTTGACCTTCTAATGTTTCCTAGGCTCTCTGGCCTGAGCAATAGCTCCATTTTTGTCACAATAGAGGGCTATTGGACCCTTTATAGAGGGTACAACATCAAGTTCACCAACGAACTTGCGAATTCAAACAGCCTCCTTAGCTGCTTTAGCAGCTGCTAAGTATTCGGCTTCAGTTGTAGAATCTGCAGTTGTACTCTGCTTTGCGCTCTTCCAGCTAAACGTCCCTCCATTTAGACAGAACACATATCCAGATTGCGATTTGAAATCGTCTCTGTCTGTCTGGAAGCTTGCGTCGGTATAACCTTCCACAACTAAATCCTCTGCACCACCATACACCAGGAATTTATCCTTGTTCCTTTTCAGGTACTTTAGGATATTTTTGGCCGCAGTCCAATGCGCCTCTCCTGGGTCTGATTGGTAACGGCTCGTAGCACTCAAGGCATACGATACATCTGGCCTAGTACATATCATGGCATACATGATCGATCCAATAAGCGAAGCATATGGAATCTGATTCATTCTTACCCGCTCATCAGGTGTCTGTGGACACTGCTTCTTGCTTAGGGTTATGCCATGTGACATTGGCAGGTGACCTCTCTTGGCCTCCTTCATGCCAAATCGAGCGAGTACCTTATCAATATAAGTACTCTGACTCAATCCAATCATCATTTTCGATCAATCCCTATAGATCTTGATGCCTAGTATATACTGAGCCTCTCCCAAGTCTTTCATTGAGAAGCACTTTCCAAGCCAGGCCTTTACAGACTCTAACAACGGAATGCTGTTTCCAATGAGCAATATGTCATCGACATATAAGACTAGGAAGGCGATGTCACTCCCACTGACCTTCTTGTAAACACAAGATTCATCTGGATTCTTGATAAAACCAAACTTACTGATGGCTTCATCGAATCGCAGATTCCAACTTTTGCTTGCTTGCTTTAATCCATAAATGGACTTCTTAAGCTTACAAACTTTCCTAGCATTGTTTTGGTCGATAAAACCTTCAGGCTGTGTCATATACACAATTTCTTCCAAATAACCATTAAGGAAGGCGGTTTAGACGTCCATCTGCCATATTTCATAATTGTAATATGCAGCAATCGCTAGGAGGATCCGAACGGATTTAAGTATTGCGACTGGTGAAAAGGTTTCATCGTAATCAATACCATGAACTTGTCTGTAACCTTTTGCCACCAATCTAGCTTTGTAAATGAATACATTTCCATCTTTGTCGGTTTTCAACTTGAAAATCCACTTACATCCGATAGGTGTATAACCTTTGGGTAAGTCAACCAAGTCCCAGACTTGATTTTCAAACATGGAATCCATTTCAGATCTCATGGCCTCTTGCCATTTAGCAGAGTCGGTGCTTGCCATCGCTTGCTTGTAGGTTGTAGGTTTTCGGTTCATCTCCATCCATAATCAGGATGTCCTGATTCTCGGTTAATACTAAACTAAGATATCTATCAGGTTGAGATCTCGG